ATTCTACACATTCAAAGATATACTATAGTTGAAGTTCTTGCATTAATGGTGTACTCTTTTCCTCACTCATTTTTTTTATCCCTATAAGAACATTAAAGGATTTTTACTTTGGAACCCTTGATATAAATAATAATACGAGAAGTTTCCAAATACATAAGTTGCTCAAGTATATTAAATTTCAATGATATCAAGGCTTTCCTCCTGAAGACACACTCAATTAATGATGTGCCTTTAAACAATGTTTTTACTTAAATTCAAGGCTTCCCTCTCAAGGACACACTCAATTAAGAATGTGCCTTCAAGAAATATGTTTGCTTTAAGATCAAGGTTTCCCTCTTGATGACACACTCGATTGACAATGTGTCTTTAAGCAATATCTTTTCTTAAAAACAAGGCTTTCCTCCTAAGGACACACTCGGTTATGGATGTGCTTATTTTTACTTAAAATCAAGGATTTCTTTCCAAGGACACACTTGGCTAAGGATATGCCTCAATGAAATATCTTTACTTTAAGATCAAGGTTTCCCTCCCAAAGACAGACTTGGTTAAGGATGTGCCTTTAAGCAATTTTTTGCTTAAAAATAAGGCTTTTCTCCTAACATCACATTTGGTCAAGGATGTGTCTTTAAGTAATGTTTATGCTTAAGTTTGAAGCTTTTTTATTGAGGATACATTTGGTTGAGCATGTACCTTTAAAGGATATTTTCTTTTGAAGATAAAGTATCCGTATAGAGGATATACTCGGTCAAAAATGTACTTTAAAATCAAGATATTTGTGATTTTTAACTTAAAAAATTTTGCTTAAGGTTTTCACACAAAAATAATCACTACTCGATCATCACTTTAGTTAAGTGAATGTTAGAATACAAGAAAGGGGTTAAATTGTTTCCATTTGAAAATATGTTCTTTTTTATTTCTATTATTTAGAAGACAAATCTTCTTAGTGTTGGAGTTATGCATATTTTTTTGAAAACAATTTTTGAATTTACTTGTTTATAATTTAGATTATACAATATTATAATGATGAATGCAATAAGTTAAATAAACAAGTAAATAGATAAGGAAAGAGAGATTTGGACATAAATTTATATTGGTTCACCCCAACTATGCTACATCTAGTTAACAGACAACCTTGTGGAATTTTCACTCAGTCATAGTCAATTGTTTTTTAAGAACTCAACCACATGTTGATACAAACCATTACTACACATCTACTGGCTATTAGTAGCAAACACTCAACCACCTGTTGAGAAATTGGAGGGGAACAAACAATACCAAGAGTTGCAACCATCATATTAAAGTTCAATCAATAGATTAACAAACAACCATTCGTATGCTTGCAAAAAGTAGTAACTTATTTCAAGAAAGAAAATGAAGAGGCATAATGATTCATAGGAGAAGTATTTTGGAGTCAATGTTGTTAGAGAAATTAATAAGGTGTAACGTTTACCAAGAACTTTTAAAAAGACACATTGATTAGGTTTTCTTTGATTTTATGAAAAATATTGAAAGCTTAGAGCATTAAATTGGTAGGATTTAGACGAGAGCTAAATCGAGGACTCCTCGCATCCCTAATAAAGACTATGAAATAAGTATTTCAAGAATACAATATAAGGATACCGATAAAGCTTGGTCGAAAGATAAACCAAAGACTCTTTGAAACCCTACTAAGGACTATCGATACAAATACTTCAAGTATACAATATATAAGCATGAGTCAAAGGTAATTAGAGGGGTATTGGACTTGCCATTAAGGCTTAGACCCAATTAAGATTGTATAAATAATGATGTTTTAAGGTAAAAAGAAACTTTTAGGTTGCATTTATTATGTCACCCTGACTGCGAATACTTATTTGAGCGTTGAAGTGACTTTTATAGGTACACTCCTTTCTCTTCTTGAACGCGTATGGCCGAAGGCTTCTACCCAATTCAGACAAGAAAGGCTGAAGACACATACCCTATTTGAACAAATAAGACCAAGGACATTCATTCATTCGGACAAGTAAATTTGAAGATAACAAGATATTAGTAATGAAGGCTTGAAAGATGAAGACTATAATAAGAATACAATTATCTTGTACCCTTGTGCAAGTATACGTAGGGGTGTTTTTAGTGCAGTTTGGTTCAATTTTCACCTTAAAAATCATCCAAACCAAGCAAAAATTAAGTGGGATCAATTTGAATGAATTACAAATTCAAAACCAATCCAAACGAACTTTTCTCGATTTGGTTTCGTTCGATTTTTTCTGTTTTTAAAATTTTTCATTTAAAAATAAACTAAAAATATGTAATATTATATTAGTTGTTTAAGATCGTATGTCAAAAATAAAACTAAAAATATAAAAATACTAAAATATTTTAATCACTTAATGAATTTAACACTAATTTTTATTTTATTATTTTAGTAAAAATATTTTTATCATGAAATTTTAATTATCATATTAAATATTTATTTCTCATATATAAAATTTGATATTTTAAAAATTTAGAATGTTATAAACAATTTATAGTTTTTATGCTAAAATTTAGTTTAGTAGTTTACAATTTTATAAAATATCTTTAAAATATTATAACTAGGGATGAGAATAGAGCATATCATGCTAGACTTTGAATATATAAGTTGAGTTTGTTCTACAAAATTAAAGTTTAAATCTGACATATTATCTATCATAAACCTTTTTTATAGGCTTGACGTGATTTTTTTAAAGTCTGACTTGACCTATTAGTTTATTTATATTAATAATGTTAACTAGACTAATAAACTTAATTTTAAAAATAACAAATTTATTTTTAAAATATAATTTATTCAATATTATTAAAATTAAAATTTTAAAAGAAATATAGGGAAAAAAGTCAATCATTTTCTATTGAAGAGATAATTCATGCGTAATCATGCATGTTGATGTATACCATGCACAAGTTATAAGCTTATAAACATATAATGAAAAAAATTGTATTAAAAAATATTTTAAATATTGATACTATTTTTTTAAAAAAATTTAATTATTTATTTATATTTGTAATAATATATGTATATTATTTTTTTTTATTATATTATATATAAAACATTTATTTTAAAAATATAGTTTACTTAATATTATTAAAATTTAAATTTTAAAAGAAATTTAGGGAAAAAAGTGAATCATTTTCTGTTGGAGAGACAATGCATGCTTAATAATGTATATATGTTGACCTAAACTCATGTAGAGGTCATAAACTTATAAACCTATAATGAAAAAAAGACAATTGTATAAAAAATTATTTTAAAAATCAATAATTTATTTCTATTTTATCAATTTATTTATTTATTTATATTTTAATAATATATGTATATTAATTTGTATTATATTATATAAATAAAACATATTGACTTATTAACTAGGCTTAAGGATGAGAATAAGTCAGACCTTAAATAAGGATCTATGGTAGAGCTGTCAAAGTGGGCCGGGACCCGTGGGCCAACCCGGCCCACCTTGAAAACGGGCCGGGCCGGGCCAAAAAAAATTGAAGTTTTATAGTAGGTGGGTATATTTCAACCCGGCCCACTTTGACCCGGCCCACCCGGGCTAAACCCGTGGTGGGCCGGGTGGCCCACCAACCCACCATTTTTTTTTTCAATAAAAATTTGAATATGATTTGTAGTTTATTTTGTATGATGATATATTGAAAATTTTTATTTTAAACTTTTATCATGATTTGTATTTAATTTTGTATGATGAATTATGACTTATAACTATTAATGATGTTAATTTTATGACTATTATGTTAATTTATAATTAATTTAAAATTTTGAATTTTGTTAATAATTTTTTTTTAATTTTTGGTGGGCTGGTGGGCTGGCCCGTATAACCCACCAACCCGTGGTGGGCCGGGCCGGGCCAAATTTTTTTTGAAAAAATTACAAGTGGGCCGGGTTGGGTTGGCTCGTTTTTAAAGTGGGTCAAGGTGGGCCGGCCCACATGGGCCGGGTTGGCCCGTTTTGACAGCTCTA